TTTTGTCTGTAATAATTAGTCAATTATACTCACACCTGTAGAATAACCATTTACTATATTATCAAGGCTTACATAAAGGATCTTGCTTATAATACAGAAATTAATTAAATTGAATTAAAAGTCCAATTTTTGGATTAAAATTATGTTATGAATCTTTCAACCAGATACGTTTTAATTAAAAAGTTTAATGTATTGATTTATATTAAAGTAATGTACAACTCAAATTTACGAAAAAACAATTGAACCTCTGTTAGTTAATTTCCACATATAAGCTGATTTGAATTCCGGGTTTGATGTTATTTGACACTCATGTGATTTCTATTAACGATTAAGTCAGAAATTATTATCACGTTTGTGATAAAATATTTATTGGAATTTAATGTGTTAAAAAATAAGCGTTATGGATATTAGTAATCATTCTGTTGTATATAATGTTGTTTATGTCGTCGACATCTTATCATGAAAGCAGTATAAAGATTTCAAGATTTTAAAACATTTCCAGTACTGTACTACGCGGAATATCTTATTTTTGTGGTGTGACACCAACAGGGTTTTTTGTTTGTGCAACATTACTTCACTATGAAACACCTACAGTGAGTAATAACACCAACTGGATTCGTTGAATTATATTGGTTTGACATTGAATGAATTGAATTTGACACCATATTGTTTTGTGTTATACATTATATTGTTATCATTTAAACACCCTTATATAGACCGTATGTTCACCAAAGACTTGGACAAATGGTTTTTTAAAGGTAGTCATTAACCTTACTGGAATTCCTCTATTTTTTGATTAATTAAAAGTATCTATTTTGGTGGATTTTTTTTTATTTTGCTTGAAGAGTGGAAAACAGAACCCCACAAAATAATTATTTCCGTAATAAGTAAACAATTACAAAAAAAAGGTGTGCATTGATATCACCTTTTACTGTTATTTTATTTTTATTTTGAAAAAAAAAAAAAAACATATTGTTAACCTTTATATTGTTTTCAGATAAAATTATAAATTAATGGTTTTTATTCATTCGTTATTGATATACAGTTTTGAGTTGAACTATTGAACATCAAAAGAAATTAAAAAAAAGGTTAAGAATATTGAAATCACCTTAGTAGATTGTGTTTATTTTAAACAGTCTGTACCTTAATTTTGTCAGAACTGGTAATAAAAACCAACATAAAATAATAATAATAATATTTCAAAATCAAATACTGACATGATCAGAGAAAAGTGACATATAAAAGATGTGAAATGATAATGTTATTATGTGTAAATATTTCAGTGGTGGTTTTAGTTTGTTTCAGTGATCATTATTTAGAAATAAAAGTTAAATTCAAAATGGAACATATTTTGTTTTTCTTCTTTGTATATGTATTAATTATTCTTTCTTCATATGTCTTTATTCTGTATTCATACGAAGACATTTTTTATTATTTGGCAACAGGTGCAATAGTGTTTGAAATAACATTGTAATCACCTGTTAGAACACACATCTGGTGAGTGATATGTTAGTTTTTGCTGAAGAACACATACATTTAATTGTTTCTTTCATTTGTGACTAACATCAGCACCATGACAAGTATTCTACTGAATTGTTGTCGCAACAGATCTTCACAAATGTATTTCAAGTGGGTCCCTACTTCCAGTAAATATCTAAGCATGCATCCTACAACTAGTTCCTGAAGGACTTTGGAAATTGACTGACACTCCAGCACTTTATTACTGATGTATCTACCCCGCACCAGTTTACAATTTTACCATGACTCTGTACAATGAGATGTCACATTACAAGGCCATTCAACAGAAACAGTTCATAATTGACAGATTACTACCACATATTCTTGCTGATATTGTCATCTGGTTGAGAGATTGCAGAACAACCATGACGAACGAAGCATCAGCTCACAAACTCTGTGATTTAACCAAATAGGGGTTTTGAATTGGGTTTTCTACAAGGACGTTAATTCCATCAGTTGTTTCAAGAAAGTTTTTCCCCCAGACAATCTCAATATGCAGGCTTTTGCATACATGTCAATGTTTCCATAACCTTCAACAATCAGCTGCAATTCAGTTCTCTCCCCCTAGTTCAGGATCTAAAGACTGATGTTTATAAATGCTATGTGTGGTTTAGAATGGGAGATACAATGTATATACATACTGCATATTAAACCTAACTTTGAATTTTCCATTTCTAGAAAGCAACATTCCTGCTCCCCAACCAATGGTGTTGATATGTCGCAGTTGATTTGATATTCAAGAATTTGTTCTGAACCATGAACATTTTCGCGTAAGATGTAGACAGTTGACAGATGAACACAGGGTCTTGAGATATGCAAATTGATGAAGATTATGAGGAAATTGTATCGTGGATCATTTTGGAAAATGTTCTATTTCTTGGGGCATCATGAAGTTTAACATGTTTCATGCTCATTAGTATTCCTGGTGGTTCCATTATTGTTACCTTTATCATATGGGATTGAGACTATATTTACTTGACCAAACTTTACATGGTGAGTGTTGTCAGTGAAGCAGAAGATGCCTATCCTTCCAGAACACCTGGTCTTATCATCCTTATACTTTTTCAGGGGACTCTGTATAAATCTTCTTTTATATATTTCGCACTAGTTTCATTGATTTGACTATGATTAAAATTCTTCTGGCATGTCAGTATTTTAATCTTTATTTTATTTCTAACAGGAAGTTGCTTCAGAAAGTTTGACACCATTCTTGTTTTTTTGGCAGTTATTCTGAAAACTCTGTTGTGGGCCTGGAAAAGTTGTATATCTGAATTGGCATCCTCATTACAGGGCAATGAATTATAGATTGCATGCCATGGCCTTGAAAAAAAGACGTCATCTTTCAAATCTTTTTATATTGTAGCACACATGATGGGTACTTGAAGAGGACATAGTATCTACACAGGTCTGTAACAATGTTCTTGGGATGAGGGCTTGTTTGGTATACTATAACTAGTTATACCAAACTTCAGTCCAAGGTCAAAATTTATACAACAATACATTCACTCAGGGTTTTTATCATCTGGGCATAAAGCTTCACTTCCACCCAATATTCAGTTTCAATTAAAATACATAAAAACATGATTTTAAGCTTTAATTTCAAGTTTTGGCCAACCTTTCATTTTTGCCCTTTTGGTAAATCAGCGGAGAACAGGTGAAAATTAACTTATTTAGCTGATGATTCCCACATACAGTATAATCTGTATAAATAGTATCAAATAAAACTTGTCAATTTGAAAATTTCAATCTTATATGACAAGTATAACAGAGAGTTTCAACAAAAGGTCCAGATAAGTAACATATACACTAATAAAGACTGAAGAATTTGGTAGCAATTTTATTACCATATAAGGTACATACAGTCATTACCAATTTTATAAACATCTCTTCTTTCATACTCATTTTATTGTACCAACCATAAAAATTCATATCTTAATAATTTGTGATAACTCTTAAATGCTGACAACATAAATGATTAAAGTTGAATTACCGCAGAAAACCTCCAGTCAGTCCCAACAAAATCAAATAAATATACCGGTAGATGGACCTCCTTGAATGAAACCAAATCATGGAAATAAACGAGTTTGAAAAATCTGAGTTGACATTGCCCAAAATAATGGCAAGATATCCTAAGATGTACTATCTCAGCCTTAAACTATCAGTCAGGAAATATCACGGCTTAATACTGAGTAAAGGTGGATTATGATAACATATGTTTAGAAAAAACAGCATGTTGATCAAATGGAAATCATATGTGTCATTTTGTTGTTCTTTACGTTTGATATCGTGATGAAGAAGCCATGAAAGTTAAAAAATGGACATGTCTTCTTGTATTTAGATGGAAGTTAGTATGGACATATAAATGTGAGGCGTGGACAGATGTTTTATATACCTGGGTACATGTCAACAGTCAGTTATCGACATGTCAATCACTTCCTAATCAGATATAGGGCCTCAACTTGTGTCAGCTGGAGTGTGCGTGAAATAAGTATGCATATACTTGGCAGTTTGAGTTGCTTACAATGGTCATTTACAAACCAGCCACACCTCATCAAGTTACCACATGGAGCAATTAATGTGACGACAGTCTCTATCAATGATACCTACGTACAAATTAACAGTGTATTCAAATTGTAGGTTAACAAGAACAGAAAGGGTTTTAACTATCACTCTACATAAAATGATTGCTTTTATTGAAGAGTCATGTTTTTTAAGTATCCACTAATTCCCACTGACTGAAGGTTTACTGGACTTACAATTATTTATCAAATCAAAGCAAATTCTTTATCACAAGTGTATTAAATTGTTAATCTTTCTGATTGCATGAATTCTAGCTCGTAATAACAGTTAACATAACAACAATCAAAGATCACCTGATGTAATTTATATTTTGAGCATCAAATCCTTTGACTAAATCTCCAGGTAATGATACATGGTACATCAAGTTAATATGTAAAAAGTTGACACAATGACAGACTAAAGCCATGGTAATAGGTCATCATGAGTCTTTGACTCTGGTGATCTAAAAACAAATTAATCATATTCATAAAATTAACATCAGAAACAGATTTCAAGTTCACTACTCATAATATATCGACAGTCTGCAAATGCCATTGATAAAAACAATGTTTCAATGCTTTGGAATTTATAAGCGATATGATGATGTAAAAATTGTCACTAGAATCAACCATTTCAAAACAGATACCATTACTGTGTCTTTATAAATCATATTCATACCACATACAGAAGCAACCACTTATTCTCATCTGTTTATCAACAATCCATTTCTTCCTCACAGATCAATTTAAGGAGTCCGATAATATTAAAATGACATTTGATATTATCAAATTTGACACAAAAAGTAGCAGTTTTACTTTTTCACCCACAATCCCTATTGGTAGTAACCTAACAAAAGATATTATCCTAACTTGATCAGAACTTAATTGAAGAGAGATCCTAATACAAAGAATTCAGCAATTTGGAGTAAAAGTAGACATTTTTCACAAAAGCCAAAGACCAATTAGTGAAGTATTTAATTTACATCAAAGCGTTCGTGAAGTAGTCAATTTACACTAAAGCTTAAGTGAGGTACACTTAATTTACACAAAAGCTTAAGTGAGGTACAGTCAATTTACACAAAAGCTTAAGTGAGGTACACTTAATTTACACTTAAGCTTAAGTGAGGTACAGTCAATTTACACCAAAGCTTAAGTGAGGTACAGTCAATTTACACTTAAGCCTAAGTGAGGTACACTTAATTTACACTTAAGCTTAAGTGAGGTACAGTCAATTTACACCAAAGCTTAAGTGAAGTACAGTCAATTTACACCAAAGCTTAAGTGAGGTACACTTAATTTACACTAAAGCTTAAGGCAGGTACACTCAATTTACACCAAAGCTTAAGGCAGGTACACTCAATTTACACCAAAGCTTAAGGCAGGTACACTCAATTTACACCAAAGCTTAAGGCAGGTACACTCAATTTACACCAAAGCTTAAATGTTTAACAGTCAGTATCTGCATCTATTTCTTTTAGACACTAAACTATGTTCAATAAACTATCTACAAACAAATCACACAACCAAATCAGTCTGATCACTTTACACATTTCTAGTAAAATCAAACAAAACCTAAAAATATCACTTGTACAAAAGGTCATAAGGTCAAAGTTTCATACACCAAAGAGAAAAATAGACACTACTGATTTGTACTCATACCAACAGTATCATTCTGTGATGGGCTATGTACATTACTACAAATTCCAGGTGTGACATTTTGATTTCTCTTCAGCCATACCGTTGATAAATACCTCCCAATAATTATAGATACAAATATCCACTCATCATTTTCAATATCCAGGTATTGTGTGGTTTATTTTTGACCAACTGATGTGGTATAGTCACTAACACTTTAAAGATAACCACCAGAAATACCCATACATTTAGAATCATTCACCCCCATCCATGTCCAAGTCATTTAGTTCACCGACCAGCTCTGTGTTGACCTGTGACTCTATACTAGCAGGTATCACATCTAAACAGATATCGTACTGCTGGTCCAGACCAAGATAGGAGTCACTCATTAGGTACAATGTATAGACCACACGTCCTGTTGTCTCTGGAGTGTACACTGCCAACTGTTGACGAGAACGTCCACGAACATATCCTGTCCTTTTAAGTGCGATGACTTCTCTATTCTCTATCTCCCCGATCACCAGGAACCAGCCCTCATCCTTAGGTTTGGGAAACCGTGGTGTCTGGGCCTTACTATCATTTCGCTGAAAAAAATCATATCAAAATTAAATAGGAAAACTTAAAAAAAAAAAGTGAAATTTCATATATGTTTTCATTTTTTAATGCTGGAAAATTTCATTTATTTGAAAAAATAAGTCAATATGCTTGCTCTAATCCTTGACAGTAGCAAGCTCCTTGATTACTGAGCAACATTGTTACATATGTCATGTTGTCAAAACAAGTGGAAATTTTGGTGTCACATAATGATAAGACTATATACAATTAATCACCCAAAAACACTAAATTTAACCAAAAGGAAAGATTATAAAACAGAATTTCTGTATAAGTCAACAATAAGAAGAGAGTGTATGTATAAGTCTGTTTATCATCAGTACTTACTTTGGTCTTGTTAACCCTGACAAGGTCAACATGTATCACATACTCTTGGTCAGCATGCACCTGGATCCAGTCGCTGTCTGGGCGACGCCCACCTGTCAATCACCAAACATTATACACAAAATTGTCATTCATTGCCATACTTCTTATAACACGAAGAGATAGATTGATCATAATAATACACTTAATATTCATCTTAATGTACAAAAAGCTTGGCATGCTTTAAAAAAAATGAAATCAGTAAATTAGAAATTGACAGGTATCTTGCATTTTCAATTGTTGGATGTGAAATATATAGTTGACCTTCACAATGACCGTTAATCTAAGACTTTGGAAGCCTTCCAAGAAAGCCCTCCAAGGTAGTCTTCCAAGGCCTTCCAAAAAAGCACTCAACAGCATGTACTCTCAGGAAAAAATAATGTGGGAGGATTTTATTTTGCTCAAGGGAAGTAAGCAATAATGTGTGGACTATGTACAGCAGTAGTATCTTTGAAAGCAATAATTGCTATTGACCTTTAGACTGCAGAGTGACATGTCTATAATTACAAGTAGTTTTAGGCCGAAGGAATCTTAAAGGATTCTAAATCTTCCCAAAGACAATGCAACAATTAATGCTAACAAGTTATTCCTGTATGTTACATCTAAGTCAACTTCTGAATTAGCACAATAGCTTTACTTATTTGTAAATATTTAAAAACACCCACAAAATGTTTTTTATGTTATAAGAAGGTAAAACGGTATTCAGAAAACAACTAAAAACATCAAAGACAATACACATATCTATCAACAGTGAAAATGACCATTACCATCTGTAGAGTTCTGGATTCGAATATCCTTCTGCCCTTCACCTCCTTCCCACCATCCCTTTATGGAAAGGTTCACTTGGATCTGAGGTAACTTTCCTATCACAGTGTAAATCTGTCAACACAAAAGAAACGCAATCAAAATCAGGAGTTCATTGAGACAAAGTATTAGAAAGTACCAGACATCTGAAAGATTCAAACTTCAAAATGTATAAAGTATAGCTGGTGATGTCAATATTTTTTCATGATTTTCTTTTCAAAGGACCAGATAATATCTTAGTAAATAAATTTTGTGATCTGGATGTGAAAGGACATAAAATACACTCTCATTATTTCATCACAGGATTAAGTTTTCATGATCACTGAAAATAACTGGTTATATGGTACTGCTGATAATTATGCATCATCACATGACCCAATTGTTACGACAAAGTGTCATAACAAATACTTCTAGATAAGATATATCATCTCACAGAAGCTTTCCTTATACCAACTCACAGGAGCTTCCCTTATATTCTCTCCCAGGACCTTCCCTTATACCACAGGAGCTCACAGGAGCTTCCCTTATACCAGCTCACAGGAGCTTCCCTTATATTCTCTCCCAGGACCTTCCCTTATACCAGCTCACAGGAGCTTCCCTTATACCAGCTCACAGGAGTTTTCCTTATATTATCTCACAGGAGCTTCCCTTATATTCTCTCCCAGGACCTTCCCTTATACCAGCTCACAGGAGCTTCCCTTATACCATCTGACAGGAGCCACCCATATATTATCCCCCAGAGGGGATGCTATGATAAAACACTGACCTGGTCAATTTGCATTCTGTCCATCTCTCCATCCAACATTGTAAGAAGTGTCTCGTATCGCCCATCACATGCAGCTAAAAGCTCCGGGAGGGATCTGATTGGGCCCCTTGGCAGGGCTGTGCCCTTCCTTTTGGCACCCTCTCCACCTTTAGGCCTGTTTGGAATAATGATATCATCATTCAAATTATCTCCCTTGATTCTCATAGATACATGTGCCTGAACATTTACCTGAAGTTCTACCACATGATGTTTAAACTTACTTTCTTTAAATATGTTAAAGTACACAGAGGTAAAAGGAAAACATTAAAAGCTCAGCCGGTCAATAGTTTGGACAGTTATAATTGTCTGGCAGTCATTAGCCAGATTTGCCAAGCATTAACTAGCCAACTATAAACAAAGTCATGCTCGGGGCTCATCAATACATCCTACGATCTTATCATTTCAAAAATGCTCAATCTAATTCAATACTTGAGATATGCTGCTTGTGTTAACCTGCAACAGATATGTAATTGGGGTATGATACATGTGTTTGGTTTACCTACGACAGATCAAGCAGTTACAGTAGTTTACTTGAGACAGATGAAGTTGTTGAGACAAAGCTATCTTTATTTACCTGAGACAGTTGAGGTGGTAGGGTGTCATGTGTGGTAAGGTCAGGAGAGCATTGTCTGTTGACCATCGTCCTTGGATGACCATCTGGATAAGGATGGTGATACGCAGGGATGTCACTAACCAGCCTTGGTCAGCTGAAATGTCCAGCATGGCCTGTAAGAAATGGCATATAATATAAGGTCTGTGATGTACTCTGATGAGGGAAAAAGGACTTACTTGTAGTACATGAATGGCCTGGTCCTAGACAGACTTGGTGTCTGTGTTGTGGTCAGATGAGGGAACAAGGACTTACTTGTAGTACATGGACGGCCTGGTCCAGGACAGACTTGGTGTCTGTGTTGTGGTCAGTTGAGGAAAGCAGGACTTACCTGTAGCACACAGATAGCCTGGTCCAGGACAGACTTGGTGTCTGTGTTGTGGTCAGATGAAGGAAGCAGGGCTTACCTGTAGTACATGGATGGCCTGGTCCAGGACAGACTTGGTGTCTGTGTTGTGGTCAGATGAAGGAAGCAGGGCTTACCTGTAGTACATGGATGGCCTGGTCCAGGACCGACTTGGTGTCTGTGTTGTGGTCAGATGAAGGAAGCAGGGCTTACCTGTAGTACACGGATGGCTTGGTCCAGGACAGACTTGGTGTCTGTGTTGTAATCGGAAGAGGGAAGAGGAACTTGGCTGAAGTGGGCCTGGAGAAGGAGACATGTCTTTGTATGGGAAGAGTCGTAGGTATGGGGGTTCACTGCTAGTGGTAACTTGGTTGCCAGTTCACTAAAGGAAAAAGCAAAAATTACTGTTGATAATAGCATCAGGAGTATTTCACAAGTCAAAGATAAATATACATGTGTTACAATCCTGAGGTGACTGGCCACTTGGGTTTCAAGGAACTAATGATATCATACCTATTGTCCTACCAACTATTGATCTACAAGTAAATTACATAACAAGATAACACACAATTTAGATCAACTCTCCTGTCCTACCAACTACTGATCTACAAGTATATTATTTAACAAGATACACAATTTCCGAACTTAAGAACAGAATCTTTAAATGGCTTGACTGTCACTTGTATATTATGGTGACCTGTGTATCAATCTATTTGTGTGTTTGTGAAGCTTCAGCGATGTAACAGTTACCTGTCTTTATGTACCGCTGGTGGTTAATTGCTAGAATACTCCAAGACCAGTGAAGATAAACCAATTCACCACATTTTCCCGTCATTTTATAACAGGTATAATGATGTATCCGCTATCTTTACAACAAGCAGTCCATTTTCTCATTGTCTTTTGTATATCTATGTATACCCTGATAATGTTATGGCTAGATTGTATCAATATATGGTTCAAAATTTCTTTGATTTACCAAAACTTTGAAGCACCTAACCTCATTTAACAGACTATTCATTTTGTTGAAAGTTTTATTTTCTATGTATCTATTTTTGATAGTGAGTCTATCCCTGAAAACAGTATAAATAAGAATCCCTAAAAATGACAACATTTGCAGTAACTTCCTAATGGATACCTTAAGACCCAAATATTTCCCAAGGGTTTTCCTGCTCAAATAAATATTACAAAATCTGAAAATATCCTACAAAGTTCACAGCATGAATTAAAATTGTGTTCTGAAATGATATGACGTATATGACAGCAGTGTGGGTGTTTTGGTAGATGTTAATCTAATACATCCATTATCTCTGATTCCCCAGCTCTCACAAAGATTTATGTGGACCTGTAGAATCTGTTTTACGATAAAACTCTTGACGGACTTGTATGTGGTAGCTAGCCATCTTTTGAAAGCTTCACGATGAAAATAAAATCTTTTTTATATCAGCACAGAGATATACTTGTCTATTTCAACATAAGACTAAACAGCTTAACACACGCTATTTCAGTACTATTGTATAGTATAATGTACTTACAGAATTCAGTTTACTGCTTGTAGAGCCTA